CTGGATTTGAAGGCCCTCCTCTTCTGCTTAAGGACGGCTTTCATTTCTGCGGTAATCCACAGTTTGTTGTTGGAGAAACTCCGCACAGTCCTGTTGGGTGCGGCGTTATCCACACAGAAGTTAATATAGTCAGTAATGCAGGTCACAAGGCTGTCGATGTCCTCTCCGTGGTCGTCACAGGTCACCTCCCACACAGTAGATTTAAAACAGTCCTTAAGAGCCTCCTCGCTCTCCTCCGACCATCTCTGGACTGTGGTGGTGGCTCCCTGCGCACTAAGGGCTCATACACAGGGACAAGGAGCACCAGGTTGTGATTAGGGGTGGGTTTTGATAATCGATTCATCGATTAAAATCGACGAGCTGATTCTGATGTTTCGGCGGGTCCGCGCTTTGTGTTTACATCCTTTTTGCGCTGATTCTAGAGCTGTTAGTTTTATATCTCAGTATATTTCAAGAACAGTTTCCCGTTTAAAAATCTGTTTTCTTCATTATTCGCTTGCTTGTTACGCACAAGGATGCCATTGTTCACAGCCTGTCGGCCGCTGTTTTTTTCCCTTTTACCTACTTCCGAAGAGAAAACCTCATTTCTGCCGTTCAACAGGTTACTGAACAAATTTAAACTTTCTAAAATTATGCAAAATGCAAAACGCTGTGTCTCTAATAAAACCGCTGTAACTCAGAGGTAATGTTCATATGTTGATTAATGGTTTTCTTTCGTTTTTGATCTACTGCAGAATATTTTTTATAAAATCCAGGCCAGGAAAATCTCCTTCATGTTTTTCTGTTTTATCTTCAGCTACTTTGACACAAAGGCCTCTGCTGTGATGCTCACACCTTTGATAAAGTTTGCGAGTGTCAGCTTCCTTTATATAGATACAAAAATATGTTAATGTACAGATCTGAATTATAATATTTCTGACTGTCTGAGGCAAAATTTCCCAGATTCGAATCGATTCAATTCGGGACCTTGTAAATCGGAATCAAATTGATTCTAGAAATCAGTGACGATACCCAGCCCTAGTTGTGATCACAAACCTGTAAATACTCTAGGAACAACAAGTAGGCCTGCAGTGTGAGAGCGAAGTGCTCTAATAGGGTGATATGGTACTACAAGGTCATTAAGATAAGATGGGGCCTGATTATTTAAGACCTTGTATGTGAGGAGCA